GTTGTCTCACAAGAACTGGGGATGGGGTTCCAAATTAGAACTGGCGAGCTTCAAAACTGGGCAGAAGTAAGTGTATGGATGCCCAAAAGGGTGAGCGATGGTGTAGTGGCCTAATTATCAGATACTGAGTCCTTTGGCCAGGAAGCAGAATCAAGGGAAGGTGATTCTAGTTTCCTTTTTTTTCCGGAACCAGGGATTGAACTCAGGTCCTTGCAACTTGCCAGGCAAGCACTTATTCTACTGAGCCATCTCCCTGGCCACTAGTTTCCCTTTCTTACACCAGACCTTCAAGGGAGGACTGAAGTGGCCTCATATGACCTATCAGCAGAGGGAGAAACAGTGGTGTAAAGTCTGTTCCAATACTGGCCAACAGAACTCACACAGACTAACAAGCAAAGCATGTGTAAAGATTACTGTACTATGTGAGGTGGGCAGACATTTTGCCTGAGAGTAGATGTTGGAGACTGGGCTGCACAAGTTTAAGTTGCTCAACACAGGGACCTCTGGCTGGGTTGGAAATGAGCATATACATAGTGCTATAAGATCAAGATGATACCACAGCTGAGGCACCAAAGACATGGACTGCTGACACTCTACTTCAGAGCAATAAACTGCCAACCTTAGAGATCAAAGTTTTCTTCATTGGCAAAATTTGGAGGAGACTTTGAACTGACTTTCTAAGGTCCTTGCCTCAGCAGCCCCTTCTCTTGTTTGAAAACCAAATAAATATGGGTTGTCCAGGGGATCTCGTCTTTGCTCCTGAGAGCACATTAAAACACACAGAGATGGAAAGTACCGAGTAGACATAGATATAGAGGACAAACCAAGGTTCAACACAGGTCTAATTTAAGTTCCAAAGAGGACAGAATGGATGTAATTGTGCAATTTCTAGAATTGACTATAGAGATGAAAATGAAGCTGCTAGAGGCAAAATATAAATTCTAATGATGCCATATAAAATAGCGGTCCCACACTTTTTGGAAGCAGCAACGTGTTTTGTGCAAGACAATTTTTCCATGGACCTGGAGGTAATTTATAATTTTTTTCTTTTTTAAAAATTACATTCCCCAGGACCAGAGAGATAGCTCAGAAAAGGCCAGGGAGATAGCTCAGTAAGGGTCAGGGAGACAGCTCAGTAGAATAAGTGCTTGCCTGGCATGGGCAAGGTCCTAAATTCAATCTCTGATACAAAAAAAAAAAAAAAAAAAAAAAAAAAAAAAAAAAAAAAAAAAAAAAAAAAAAAAAAAAAAAAAAAAATTACATTCCCCAGCTCTCGTATTCTACCTCAAATCATGAAGCATTAGCTTCTCAGAAGGAGCAGCACAACCTTAATCCCTGGCACTGCAGTTTGCAGAGGGCTTGTATTCCTCTGACAATGGAATCTGACTCTGCCGCTGATCTGACAGGCAGGAGGTGGGGTTCAGGTGCAGTGCCAGTGATCAGATAAAGCTTCTTGCTTGTTGCTCACTTTCTACTTCATGTTGTCATGGTCTAACTTTTGGGAACCCCTGAATTAAAAGAAATCCTCTCTGAATGACTTACCTTTTCCTTGCCTTGGGGCCTATAACTGAAGCCTAATGTGATGGCTTTAAACTAAAACTTTTGTGTGCTGGTTATGAACACTATAACACAACATAATGAAAAGCTCAGCAAAAAAATAAGGAAAGCCTCTATCATAAGAGGCAACATACACATGTGAGATGTAACTCAGGGAAAAATGACCAGCAGGAAAACACAAACATGAAAACAAGGTATAATCATTAATATCCTTAGGTAGGTGAAAGAAGATATTGATTTTGTTAAACTTGCAAAAGCTGCTATTAATGGGCAGTGAGATAGCTCAGAGGACTAAGTGCCTGCTTAGGCAAGTGCAGGGACAAGGGTTTGATCCCCAGTACCGGTACTGGCTCTGCCTCTGGGCGTACTGAGCCAGGGACTGAGTCCAGGTGTGGTGGCACATACCTATAATTCCAGTGCTGGGGAGGCTGAAAACAAGAGGATAACTATGAGTCTGAGCTGCATAGTGAGACCTTGTATTGTATCAAATACATAAACTTAAAAAAACCAACAACAACCCTGTTCTTAACACACACACACACACACACACACACACACACACAAACATTGTAAAATTTATAAATGCTGAAGTCAAAGAAGATCTTGCAAGCTTCCAGAAGGCAAAACAAAGACAAAATTGGTCCCATTAAAGATGAAGAATCAGAATGGTTTCAAATTTCTCCTTAGCACAATGGAAGTTAGAAGACAACAGGAAAAGTCCTTCAAGTTTTTTTTTTTTTTTTGGCTTGCTCAGGCTGCCTTAAGGGTTGCTCTAGTGCAGAATGTGGAGCTGGGGATTGAACTGTGGTCCCTGTGCCTTATCTGAATTTGCCCAAGCAAGTGCTTTAAGCAACTAAACAACTTTAAACAAGCTAAACAGCAAGCTTCCTCCATTTTTTTTTTTTTTTTTTTTTTTTTTTTTTGTTTTTTAGGGAAGGGTCTACAGGGTGTTCAGGGTCCCACTACTAGATTGGACTTTTTTTTTTTTTGCGGAACTGGGGATTGAACTCAGGTCCTTGCGCTTGCCAGGGAAGCACTTACTCCACTGAGCCATCTCCCCAGCCCCTGTCCTTCAAGTTTTTAAAGCAAACCAATACTTAGCTTGGAACCCTACACCCAAAATAGTTTTTCAGAGTGAGAACAGAACTAAAGATCTTTCAGGTATTCACAATCTCACACTTCACTCCTCGTGCAGCCTTTCTCAGGAGCTCCTAGAAAATATGCTGCTTTTTCCGAAAGAGTAATGGAAGAAGCAGGTATGACATGTGGAAAAAGAAAGAACAGAGAACTCCTCAGGAAAATGAAGAATGAAGCCAGGATAACTGCTGTGGACCAGGTCAATCTTCTGCAGAGGACACAAGAGACAGAATGAGGCCTGTCTTTTTGACATTTGCCTTTGGTTGTACTACATGGTAACTTGATAATGTCTGGGTGAGACTGGCCTGGTTTTTATTTCTACTTGGGCTGTTGGACTGTGTCCTGATGAGGAAGTCCTTCTTCTTCGTGCACTGCTCGTAGGAGCATTTGTGAACACACAGGTGTGCTACCTTGCTCTGATCTTACTGTGCAAGATAGTCACAGAGAACTCAAAAGTGGAAGAGCCTACGTAGCCTGCTGCCCATAACCACGTTACAAGTAGATACCAGTTCTAGCAGCCAGTGTGGGTTTCAAAATACAATGATTATGGATGATATAATTTTCCAAGATTTGCTCAGGGCCAAAACTTGCTCAATGAAGTTTCTAGAAAAAGGATCTGAAAATTCTTGAGAGAAGCTGAAGTCAGACTATGAGCCAGTGCTTCTTCAGGTTACTTTTATCAAACAGTGGCAATACTCCTTTTTTGTACGTAGCTGTCTGCATGCTACCCAATTTGCAGTTTAATCACCTTCACACTCATTTGTATGTATATAGCTCATAAAATATTTCATTTAA